GGCGGGCGAACCGTACTCTAGCATTGGTCTAATGATAGAAGAGAACAGGCGAGTGGCAACCTCTTCAGACCATGTGCCGAAGCTACGTTTGAGCGCCCAAAGCATGCGCAGTCCGTTCCGATATAGCCTGTTCGTGTTGTCCACGGACTTCAAATCGTAGCGTGAGAGTACACCTAGGTCCTTCACGGAGGGTGTGGGATATAGCGTTTGGCCGTCAAGAGTGTAGGTTCGGCCGTTAGCATTCTTCCCCAGGCTCATAAATACAGACTTGGCTGGGTTGACCGGGAGAAGAACTTCTGCAGACCATGTGGATAAGCGGTTGAGATCTTGCTGAAGTAGGCCACAGTCATCGGGAGCGTCGATTTCTCTCCAAATCTTCATGTCGTCCGCAAACAAGGCACACGGCGACCGGAGAAGCTGCGGTAGATCGTTGATGTGGATCAGGAACAGAGTGGGACCCAGCACCGTACCATGAGGCACGCCACTTGTAGAGGGGTACCTGTCAGTTAGATGGTCGTCGACCTGTACTCTCCACTTTCGTCCAACAAGAAAGTCGCGGATCCACCGGTGCAGTGAGCCACCGACGCCACACATGCTGAGTTTGTGAAGGAGAACCTCATGACTGACCTGGTCGAAAGCTTTACTGAAATCGATGAATATCACGTCGACGGATTTCCCTTGTTTATTGCCTTCAACCACTCCTGCCTCGTCACAAGCAGGTTCGTAATGCATGATCGACCTTGCCTAAAACTGTGCTGTGCGGCGTCAGGACCTCGTTTGACTGTAGCAACTGCAGCATTCTCTTCTTCACGAATTTCTCAGCAACCATTGCTAAAATAGGTGTCAGACAAATTGGCCTGTAGTTGTCTACTTTGCTAGGGTCGCCGCCATTCGGAATAGGCGTCACCACCGAACATTTCCAGTCAACCGGCAACGAACATTCGGACAGCGACCTGTTGAAAAGGTCAGTCACGACAGGAGAGAGGATGGTCGAGAGTGACTTGAGAACCAGTGGGTGAAAGCCCATCAGGTCCGGTAGGTTTGGTGCCGTCAAGGTGGGCGAGTAGTTGAGCTACCACTTCAACGCCGCAATGCAGACTATCGAGTTCGGTAAAAGCGGTACACGTTCGTACTCAGGAACAGACACCTGTATATCGCAAATACGACAGCGAAGTGGGAAGCCAACAGCAGACGCACCCTCAGCTCTGGAGGTTATGGGCTGTCCATCTGGTGCCATCCAGCACTGGCACATCACCTGCAGGCTTTATGCGTCGCTTCACGTATGCAAAGATTCTCTTTGGGGCGGTCTTCGCGGCTAATGCGAGCTGCTCTTCAAAGTGTCAGGTGTTTGTTCTTTTTCGCACTGTTGCAGAGGTTCCGCTGACATTTGTACCCTTCGTAATCATTGGCAGAGCCAAAGAGAAGGAATTCGTCCCACAGTCTGCGCCGCCTCCGAGCCAGGTTTCCATACTCCTTGTCAAACCAATGAGGCTTAATCGGTCCAACCTTTTCGACCTTTCAATGGCACAAACTGGGAACACAATGACGTCAATCTCTCTTTTATAAATATCCAACAATCTTCCATAGATGCAGCTTGTGAAAGAGACCAATCTAGTTGGCTCGCGGCTCGAGCTAGACCATCGAAGTCCGTTTTCCAGTAGTTGGGAGCTGGTTGCCAGCGGACGTGAATACGCACAAGGTAATTCCATATCAGCTATCAGTACTGAGTGGTCGCTCGTAGCCAGGGGCTCCAGAATCCTAATGTCACGCACTCGTTGTTCGTAGCTCGTTAACATCAGGTCGAGACAGGACGAGGTTGAACGTGTTGATATGCGTGTTGGCTGGCATATGTGTTGCGATGCACCAGTTTCAAGTACAAAATCCACGAACTTTGCTTCAACCTCACTATGTCCAGGCATCAAATGCACATCAGGCCATCGTATTCGAGGACAGTTAAAATCGCCCATAAGCAGAAAGTGTGGACGACTCATGTGGGCTTGAAGATGGGGGCAGCCAATCCAAACAACGACTCAGGGGACTGCGATAAACTGCGCCCACAAGCAGTTCTCCGCGCCTGAGGCGGATGGAGCACCACAGTAGCTCACACAGGCCATCGTCACTTCGGTAGGTGCTCACAAGTCTCCCACGCAGGGAAGACCGGATGTAAAGTAAGACACCACCGTGGGCATTCTTTAGCCTATCGCATCGGAAACACGAGTAACGTTGAGTTCAAGTTCTTGGGTGTATAACTCTGCATGCAGCCATGTCTCTGCGAGTCCCACTACGTCTGGCCGCTCAGACGCAACGAAACAACAAAGCTCATCGCGCTTATTCATAATACTGCAAACGTTTGTGAAGGCTACTCGCAGGCCGCAGCGGGAGCCACCGGGCGTGCTTGAAGTGTGAGCATCCTGATTATCCTGATTCGCGGATGGTTGGAAACCACCAGAAAATTTACGATACGAAGATTTGTTTCCCCCTCACCAGCGCGTCTTTTCAACTCAGTGATGGCAGACTTGAGCCGCTCCCTGTCTACTGGGTCCAGGTCGGGGCGAACATGGATCTTCAAACCTTTCAGCCTACTTAGGCGAGACATGATCAGTCTTGGACTGGCTTCGTTCCACAATAGTGTTGCTCATAGGCCGACTTTGTTGAACACCTTGCTTTCCCAGACGGTTATTCTGCCTCACTGTTACTGACTGCTCACCAGCGTCGAGTAGTCTGTCCGTTAGGCCGTGTAAAAACTCGACATCGTGGTCGTAGCGCACTTGGGAGTGATGGATCACTGGACTCCGGTGCGTGAAAGATCACGAGATTATAACGCCTCTTGTAGGACGAGATTGGCTTTGCTGGGCGAAGTATACTACCAGCCTCAAGTGGTTTGGCTAACTGTTGACTTACTGAACGTAAACGCTCAACGTTCCTTCGTAATTTCGTCCTCTGTTCTTTCCACTGGTCTTCAGCACTCAGACTTTCACCTGCTGGGACATCAGTGTCCGGTGGACACAACAAAGGTAAACAATTTAGGCTAGGTGCAACTGGGCTTCTCACAACGGTTGGACTTGGTGTCGGTGAGTTTGCACGGGTAGAGGAGGAACGACTGAGCCGAAACCTGAAGGCTCTTCGCGCTAGGTTGTTGGGCCAAACACTCGGAGCTGTTCGCAACGAAACGCTGAGGCCTACACGTCGTCTTTACTCTTTCTGGCTGTATCTTATTTCGGCAATTTTCACATATAGTTTGGATGAAATCGTGTTGGATCTCGCGAAGGACGATGAAAATGCTCAACTGATAATCCAACACATGAAATGTGGTATTAACTTGGCACAAAATACACGTGAGAGCAGTTGCACGGTATCCGACTAGTTTGGAGCAAGTACCACAGTATGAATTTCTTCGGCATTGTGAATAATCCGAAAACAAGATGGCGGCCAATTGACGAAGAAAATGGCGATAGCAAGATCGCCGAAACCAAGCGATGAAAACACAAGTATTTCTGGTCGGAAATTTCAGAATCGGAAATGAAACTGAATTGTAGCTCAATTTCCACGAAATATTTCCAATGAACGCAGAAAGTTAACACAAAGTGATCTTGTCAACACAGCCAAAAATAACCCACCGGAGGACGCTATCCGCAGTTATATATGGCAAAGTTGTTTCAGCTCAATCGGACCAGTGGTCACAGAAGGTCTGGTGTCAGTGAGGCTATCTACGAACCGGATGGGTCACAAATTACCAAACTTCAGAGGCTAATGGACAGATGGGTTGAGCATTTTCAATCTCAGTTCAGTTCTTCCTCGTCGTACGCCATGGGCCGTCACTTGAACCACTTACTGAGGCCGAGGTTCACCTTGAGATCAAAAAGTTGAAGCGCCTTAAGACTACTGATTCAGACAAGCTTCCTCCAGAACTGTTCAAATATGGTCGTAAGGGAATTGTCACCCAGATAACATCCATAATTCCAAACATCTAGAGAGAGAGGAAAGGGTTCCCTCCTCATGAAGAGTCAGTTATCCTCCCAGTCTTCAAGAAAGGCTCCTGGACTTCATGTGCCAATCATAGAGGAAGCATCCCCATCAAAGTGCAGAGTACTGGCACATGATTGGCAGAATACTCTCCCTCAGCTTGCCATCAGAACACTCGGCTTGAGCAAGTGAACGGTATCGTTTACCTCGTGAGCAGTGACTGAACCGACGGAACCATGGAAAACGCAGTGTCTTTCTATACTGCTAAAGCCCGCTTAAACTTTGCAAATTTGAGGTACTTGTGGCGTCGACGCAACATCTAGCTTTTTATAATAGACAGGGTTCACGATGCATGTGTTCGCAGGATACGTTTGTGTGGATGGAAATTCAGGCAGATCCAAGTGAACGACATAGGTAGACTTTCGGAATTCGACAAAAGCTGTCGACTTGTGTTTGTCTGTGTTATGTACGAAAAGTCATAAGCACGAGTCGAAGAAAACAAGTCCGCTCCGGTAAACAAATTAAACTATGTGAGAATATTAGGAAGCAAATAAAAGAATGAACCAATAAGGATGCAGATAAATATGACTTACGTGTGTGTCTGGGTTTATATGCCCATATCTATCTATCTATCTATCTATCTATCTATCTATCTATCTATCTATCTATCTATCTATCTATCTATCTATCTATCTATCTATCTATCTATCTATCTATCTATCAATCAATCTATCTATCTATCTATCTATCTATCTAATCTATCTATCTATCTATCCATCTATCTATAGACCGCGGTCACGTACCCTGGACGCATACACAACAACCTCGCCGCTCAATCATGAGATGCGTCAAAAGCATATCGATTTGGTTGTCTTGGTTCTTGGCCTGTCCTGCGGAGCCGCGTGCTGTGCGTGGTTTCGGCAGTGAAAGTGGTTGGCACGTGCTCCGTTCGTTTGCTACTTTTGTCTATGGCTCGGTGGTGTGCGGTTCAGTAAGAAAATAGTGTTTGTAAAACTATCCTCTTAAACCGTAACAGATAAACGAATAGTTTGGATACTCTCTTTCAAGGATCGATTGAACCACATTACCATGCCGTTTGCCTCTGGGTTATACGGCGTTGTACGTGTGTCGGATAGCATGAAGCCGAATGAACGAAAGAAACTCGTGGCTTGTAAACTGCGGCCCGTTGTCCGTCACTATCTCCACTGGTAATCCGAAACGGGAAAACATGTATTTCAGCCATCGAATAATGCTGGCAGTAGTCACCTCTCCACAAAAATGAACTTCTTGCCATTTAATGTAAAAGCATGTCGCCACCAAACAGTTTCTTTGATGCTGAGGCGCTAAGCTAAATAGACCCATGATGTCAAGAGCTATCTTGGCCCACGGTCGTATAGGATAGTCAATGGTCGTAGAGGAGAAGAAATCGGCTTTGAGCTCTTGTCTGCCCTTTGACATGAAGAGCAGTCATGAACAAGTTTTTCTATTTCGTGTGGCATTCTAGGCCATCAAAAGCGTACGTCAATCCCGCGTTTAGTACGAACGATACCACGATGACCTACGTGAGCTCCGAAGACCCACAAGGGTATCATCGCGCAGTAAACATCCATGCACAAATGAAAGTTCGTGACGCAACATGTAGTACTGACGAAACTCGCCTGTGATCTTCTTATTTTGTGGTCAGTCGTTTAGCAGAAATCACTGAACGCGGCAGAGTATCTTCTTCCTGAGTCGCCTTCTGTAGTACTTTAGTCAGAGCTGAGATTGTTTCACTAATCAGAAAAGACCAAGCATCCTCTCATTATCAGTCGCATTATTTTTAGTCTCGTCGAGTGGTAGTCGAAAGAGCCCATCCGCTGCCTGGTTTACACGCCTGGGACAGAATTTAATTTGAAAATCGTGCATACCAGCGATGTATGCGAAGTTGGACTGACGCCATTTGTCACTTAAGCTAGGTACCGCTGCGTGGTCTGTACGAAAAGTGAAGGGTCTACCGAACAAGAACTAATTTCACTTCTCACAAGCCCAAACGCAGGCAGGGGCTTCTTTATCCACGACAGAGTTAGAAAGCTCTGATGCCGACAACTTCCTGGAAGCGTATGCAATAACTCTTTCATGCCCATTCTGAATTTGGGAAAGTATTGCACCCAATCCAGTGTTTGAGGCATCAGTAGAGACAAACGTGGGGCACGTCCCATCGAAAATCGCTATGACTGATGTGGAAGCTATGCGGCGTTTTATCTCGTCAAATGCCGTTTGATAGGGGTGACCCCAAACAAATACACTTTATTCCTTCGTCAGTTCACGCAGTGGTTCAGCAATATTCGGGAAATCCTGCAGATAACGTAGGTTGTAAGAACACATACCTCGAAAATGTTTGATTTCGGTGGAGTTCTGTGAACGAGAAGCCTCGGTGATGGCACGCGTGTTGTCAACACTAGGCTTCATACAGTCAGTTGTTATAATGTGGCCCACGAACTAGATCACACCAGCAGCAAATTTGCACTTCTCGAGGTTTAACTGGAGGTTAAGATCATGTAGTCGATGTAACACAGCATGCAGTCGTGAATCATGTTCTTCTGGAGTCCTAGCGATTACACAGATGTCGTCCATCTAACCCAGTAAATCGGCAAAAGAGTGAACCATAAACTTTTGCCAAGCTGCTGCGGCTGAACTCAAGCCCATTGGCAAGACTTTGTGCGGTCAGCGGTCTTGACTCCTGAATAAGTAGCATGTGAAAGAAAGCCTTCCTCGTGTCCAATTTTAAAACAAATCGGGTGCCAGCTAGTTTGACTAATACTCCACTCGCGATTGGAAGCACAAACTTTTCGACCACGATTTGAAGATTTAGGGCTTGCAAGTCATTACATATGCTCTTCGTACAGTCCTCCTTGAGGACTGAAACCATAGGGTGAACCCATTCAGAACCGTTAATGGGTTCAATGAGATCAACTGCAATCACTTGTTGTAACGTTGATGAAACAGCCTCTCTTCTGGCTAAAGAAATTGAACGTGGCTAAGCAACAGCAACCAGTTTAGCATCCTGTTGCAGACATATACGATGAAGGCAGGAGGGAGCATGCCCCATTGCTTGTTCAAGCAGTTCCGGGTACTGTATCGGTAGGTCTAATAGATTAACCGCCATGATACGAATACGAGATAGAGACGGCGTGACTCCCAGTGCAATCGTAGCGTTGCGCCCGAGTAGGTGACAGTAATTTTCACGGGTGACGTACACAGCAACTGATGGTTTCACTATCCCATCAAGGCATGAATGCATCCGCTCTGCTTGTTGAAGGAGTGTGAGCCGGCTCCGTTGATGAAAGGTGGCTCACATCCGCACGCCTCCTGGTCTAATTCCATCGGGTTTAAACTGGAAGTGGTGTGTGGACGGAGCTGTGGATGGTGCAGGGCAAGCCACCCATGGTCCCTCTGCAGATGCAGGCGCCCGGTTGCAGTTCTATGACCACAGTGACAGGCGAATCCGGAATCGGATGCCGCCAACCGTATTTATAATGGAACGGTGCGGATATGAGGTGTATCCTAGCGGTGCATCCTCTGGCAATCAGTTATACGAGTGCTTCCGCAAACGAAGAGAATGGCAACAAAATACCGCCCTAAGTGTAATTGCAAGTTTCACAGTATGCGAAGTGTTTCGTAGATACCTTAAGAACAGACTGCAGAAAAGGATTATGGGCAAAAATGGAGCCTCAGTAAACTAAATAAACGTAGCCGTCGATGTGCGTTGACCCGGTTCCTGTGATCGGAGTGACCGGACCTAATCTTAGAGCAAGTTGCGTGCTACAAACCAAAAACTTAGTGTGATTTAGAACAAAACAACGAACAACCCAACTACCTTGAGAAGCGAATTCTGCGGAGCTAGTCAGTTTAATGGCTAAGGTTACCGTCCACGTTGAGGTCCAAGCTCCGTCTGAACTTCTGGACGAAAGTTTTGATGAAAGGTGTTAGCATTTAGTGGCATCCAACTATTTTATAAAAATTATGGCTAGTTTAAATTGTACGATAAAAGCACCACTTGCTCCTTCGGTACTTAGAACGGTCATATCGCATGATGGTGATTGGTAATTTGTAACTTGCATGTTAATTCGTGGTAACGAAAGATCTACCATCTGGTAAAAGCAGTACAGCGTAACACTGCACTGCGTAAACGATAGTTTGTGGATATCTTACAGTTGGGGATAAGAGTCAAAAGAACCCGGAACAGGAAGTTGGGAGTTTGAGCCTACATAGCGCCGTCCATCCGTAGCACTTTCCAAGATAATCTGCCAAATGTGATGAAGAAAAGCGACATTTTGTGGTGGATCAAAGGCGAGTACAACTGTGCTAGGTGTTAGTAGTACAGAAGTGCCAGGAAAATCAAACGGGCAGACAGCGGACAATACCAACGCCACCGACACAAAGGAACGCTAGTAACCGCAGGTGTATGCGCATCATGAATAGACATAGAAGCAGTGAGCACCACATGATCTCCAATGGAAAGAGTGTAGATGAGTTCCGTTGGTCAGAACTAATGCATATAGTTGATGACGTCTGCCACGAGAAACGACTTCGCTTGCACTCTGAATTCTTACAGTTTGACCTGATTTGCTTCAGAAGAGGAGTTAAACTTCGCCGAACAGGGAAGATACATTCCCAAATCCCTATAAGTAGGATGTAGTACAGTAATAAAGTTCATATTTTCGTTGTTATGAGAAAATGGTTGGTTCCCGTAAGGCGATAATGTAACGAATACAGATAAGAAGTCGCTACAGTTGAGAAGGCGTTGGGGAAGCGGCATCGTCTGTTTACGATACTGTGTTCGTGAACGTTGTTTATTGAAACAGAGACCCTGCAGAGAGCATAGAGTGTTGTGGCGGAGCTAAGTGGATGTCAAAAACTATTGGGGATCTCGTTCAGGACATCGGGATTGCGGAATAGTTCGATTCTTTTGACGCGGGCTTGTATTTGCTGGCCGATCAATTCCCACTGGATTCCCAAGTTCGGCGAAAAGGTCAAATGTCGTACCATGCCCGTGCTGATGACCTTTGCATGTAACAGACAGCCAACGTGCTCCGCTTATGTTGCTATTACCTCCTCTTTCAAAATGAGTACGCCAGCGTACCGTTCGAAATCGACTTTGTTCATAGGTTTTCGCTTTGGGATCAACTTGTAGCCATTGTAGTCGTCTCCGCTTTCGGGTCGGCCTGCATTGTGTATCAGCTGATGCTTGCAGGTTCTGGTGTGATCTACGTGGCCGCTCAGCTTCCTCCACTAAACCAAACGTGTCCAGAAGAATGTCCCACGGTAAGGATGGTGGTTCCGAGGAACATTGAGTCTTGCCGTGATTCGGCCTCAGCTGAATGGCGTGCCTGACGCATTTCTCATTTCCTACCATTATCTCGTAAATGACTCGGCCCTTTTTGCGGATCACTCTTCCTGTTGACCACACCCTCGGTCCTCGGAAGTCTCGCGCGAACACCATGTCACCAATTTTAAAATGACGGAGCCTGTCTGTCAGATTTTCCTACTGGACAACTACAATGCTTTTCTTTTCTGATTGGCACAAAGTTATCGAACAATGTCCAGATCTTTCGTCCAAATAAAATTTAGGCAGGGGCTTTTCCACCTGGGGCGTTAGGGTTTGGCGCATTCCGATACATGCAAAGGAAAGACTGAATCGCGTCCTTTGCGACCTTGTTTTGTCCCGCATTACAAAGAGCGAGTTTGATGGTATCCACGAACCGTTACGCCTGTCCATTTGATTGCGGATGATAGGGTGGTGAGAACATCTGCTTAATTTTCTTCTCTTTGGACCACTCGCGAAAGGAAGTTGAAGTGAATTGTGTACCGTTGTCTGTCACTAGTACCTCTGGCAGGCCGAAATACTGGAACAGCTTATCCATCTCGTTGATCGTGTACTGGGCAATCGTACTTTGCATCGGGATCACATCGGGCTACTTGAAGAAAGAGTCCACCAAAACAAGATAGGATTGACCGCGATTGGTCCTGTATAATCTAAGTGGATTCGCTGCCATGGCTTCTCTGCTTTGGGCCAAGGTTACCAGGGGCACTTGGGAAGGGCCTTAGCCGAAGGTTGACACGATGCGCATTTTTGGCAGAATAGTTCGATTTCTGAATCCATTCCGGGCCAGAAAACAAAATCGCGTGCCAAGGCTTTCATACGGTTGGTACCTGGATGCGCGGTATGAAACTGCTGTAAGACTTGACTGTTCAATTTCTTTGGCACCACCACCCAGTCTCCAAACATCAAACAATTGTCCACAACGGACAGTGACTCACGTCGGTTGAAGAAAGGCCGCAAGACAGCAGGGATACCACCTTTTGGCCAACCAGTTTGCACGGAATGCATCACTTTCTCTAGGGTTCTGTCTCGAGAAGTCTCCGTGCGAATAGTGTCAGCTGGCACTGGTAATCTGAGATTACCGGTCAGGATTCGCTGGACTTCTGATTCGAATTTGATGGCTGCGATCACACAATCATTGTTCACCTTTGGGTGCGAATCGATGAGAGGAGACAGGGCATCCGCTTGGC